GGTCACAACCAAACTTGCTTGCGAACCTTCCGGAACAACAATCCCGCCTCCTTGATAATCGACCAATCACATTCACTTTATTCACTCGTGTAAAGTTGGCACCACTCTTGAGAATTCGGAAATGCGACGGATGGAACAGCCGCTTCCCTACGACTTTAAAGTAACAGATTATAATTAAAAATGTCTCGAACTTTGCTGGTTGTTGATTTTCCTTATTCTGACCCTGCTGGTTTTTAATTGGTTACCTCTGGTATAAAACCTGGAACTCAAAGCTATTTCTGACATATTGAATTGAAAAAGCTTCCTGGATGGGAAGAGAAATGTCTTCAAACTTGGAAACAAAGTCAAGTAGATTGCTTTTTAATATTTTTGGAATGACTTTGACCTGGATCACTGAGAATCTTCACCATCATACTAAATGTGTGCTTTTCACTGAATGGTATAAAAAATGAATACCAGCATGTTTGCCAACAGCAATCAGGGAAGCGTTCGACCGTGTTGTTTTCTTCCAAAACCGTTTAATTTTTAAAGGATTAGCATCTGTGTTCTGTTTGTGTCCAGGCATCATCAAGGTGGGAAGGTGGAACCCTCTGCCCATCCATTTCCTCACCGACGCTCCTGAAGCCACGGTGGCAGACATGCTGATGGAGGTCTACCACATGGTCACGCTCCACATTCAGCTGCAAAGGTCAGATTTACCTGCTCACTGTTGTTAGATTTAAAAAGCATGTGAGGCAGAGCAGAGACTGTATGCAGGGGAGGAGGTGGAGGTCCGCTGACTGCAGTGGATTTGAAACACACAGGCTCTGATGGAGATCTATGTGTTATCTATCTGCGTCAGAGGGGCGGGGGAGGGTCCATGCTTTGGGAACTCCTGGTTCCAGAGAAGAAATGAAGCAGCATCCTGATGAACAGATAAAAACAGATAAACTCCACATGAGAGGGTTTTTTTCTTCTTTTTCTATTGTTCCACATTCCTGCCAGCCTTGTTTATCTGTGGGACCAAAGCAGGGGCAGGGCTACGCTATGCTCGCAGTCTGACTCATTTAACTAAAGCTAAAATAAAAATACCAAAACTCTATATCAGATGATGCACTGCAAAAATGATATCTAAATAAGTCAGCTTTTCTTAAAATAAGTGGATTTGTTCTTGGATTGAGGAGGTAATTGAGACACTTTGCCAATGGAACAAGACAAGTTAGATTTAAAATAAG